TTATGGTATAATTAAGGCCTGAAATAAATGATATGGACATTCTGTTGGGTATCAGGGAACTGTGGGAGGGGTGTGATTAGTAAGCAGTGAACCATGGAGTTGAGAAGTTTTGGATCAGATGAGTTTTGAAAATCATGAAAATACTGGGCTGAAACAACACGAATTAAGAAGCAACAACAAAGAGCCAGCAAGCCAACAAGAGTCAGAATTGAAACCCGAGTACAGAAGGACAGAGTAGGAAAGGCCCTGGATAAAATTATGAAGGCAATATATTTTGTAGCTTTTGACTAGCCCTTTAGCATTTCTCCCGTCTACATCTCCCTTTTTTTTTCTCATTTTCCGGCCAGATAGCCATTAAATGGTTCATTGCATCCTACTGTAGACTCTCCTCCAAAAAGTTTGCTTTACTATAAAATACTCGCAGGCTCACACAGTCTTCCTACAATGTTTACACGAAATGATTAGGGGAACATTGTTGCTTAGTCTGTCACACTGTGTCTTATTTTGGGTAGAATTTGAGTCTTCGTGCTCATATTTAAAAGATGACAAGGGGAGTGCAGAAGCTCATTTTATAAATATTTTGTTACCTCCACATCATTTGTTTCCTGCAGTATCTTGTAGCACTAAACTCTAAGCAATTATCTTTACATTTCCCCAAACATTCCTTGCTCGCTCTATTTTCTTGTACCGCTCCACGTGAAACTTCAATGTGACATCTCCAGATTAAATAAGCTTTCTCAATTCGTTTCTCCTACCTCGTCTAACCACGATAAGTGACTTTTCGTAAGTATGGAAATTAGCACTCCAGGAAGCTCAGTCCGTCCCAGTTTTGACCTTTTGACAAACACCAAACCTGTGCTCCTCAACAGCCCTTAGCCCAAACCCTACTACATTCAACGTCCGACCCTAGGGCAGTGCTTCGTAGAACAGGTCTCGGGGAGCCGAGCAGACACTTGTTTTTTCGCGGGGTCGTATTGTGAGACTTGGTCTTCCACTTGATCGTTATTTTTGGACGTGGGAGGTGGAGTCGGTAGAAGAAAAGTTAGAAAAGATAAAATCTCGCCCATTCCTCTGGCAGCAGTTGGTGCGGGCGGCTCCTCCCCGCCCCACG